TTAGTCATATTATGTTATTTTGTATTGAATTAAATATTTTAAAAATCATAAATTAAGGAAGGAACCAGAATATCAGACTACTAATTATTTAGTAAATATTTCCTTTAGTAATATTTTACTATACTCGTAATATAAGCAATAATGAACAAGTATACACTGTTTAAAGAGAACTTAACTTAATGCATAATCAGAAAATAATTACTTACAGCACTCGCGGCCAAATTATATATCTTGAATGACATAGCAATATTTATCTAATATTTTCAATTTATCTTTCAACTTAAAGGCAACCTGAGTAAATATTGAATGAAAATAATTCCTTTTTCCTCATGTGGATTCATTAATAATTATGACGTGCCTGATGCTTTAGATACACGGAGTTATGTTTAATTGCTGTGAGGTTATGAATTTAACTCCATTCTCAGATTATGTATCTACATAATGTATTATTTACACTGTTTACATAATAATCAGTTATTTAGACAAACGATTAGATAAAATAATTGAATTGCTCGTTGGCAAATGTGAGTTGGACTGTTAATTGGCAGTTAAGCAAGTAAAAGTTGTGATAAAATTAAACCAAAATAAAAGAAAATTTATATTCTGATATTGTTTTTAAATTTATTGACTTACTTGCATACACACATATGCACTTGTATCTGCGTTAATGTATCTGCGTATTTATGACAGCGCATGCTATTTTGTATGCGAGACGTGAAAGACATTTTGGCATGTAAACGAACAGGCAGTGAAATTTTATTGAACTTCAGAAATTTCACTTCTTTCATTTACAAGTCGAAAATTGACTTTCTTAATTTAAACAAACAAAGGCACAACCCAGCAAGAAAAAAAAAAAATAAAGAAATTAATTGAAATTGGCAAATGTTCAGTTTACTTTCGTGGTCATTCATTTCGACACAAATTAGGATACCATATGTCGAAAATGCATATAAAATTTTCTTAATAATTTACTTAATTTATTATAAATTATCTTAATTAAAATACGTTGAATTCTTCTTTACAGCACCATGAAATTCGTCATATTACTGTGTGTACTTAGCGCGCTGCTGCTGCAAATCGAAGCCTCACCCGTCAATCATCTGGAACGTCAGTCCCGTGCAGTCTCACGTCAACAAGCCAGTGGAGTTAATGATGTCGCACCCGCTGCATCTTCTACCGATGATGATGATGACGACGATGAAGATGATGATGATGATGAGCCAGATCTAGGTGATCTTGTGGATGATGATGATGGTAAATAAAATTTTCTTTCACCAAATATATTTTTTTTCGTTATTATTTCTTTAAAAAAATACTTAATTTTGTTTTATCTCTCAAGCTAAATACTTAATACTTTTTAATAGTCGTTCCTATGCACCTGGAGAATTCGAGTGAATTTCAAGCACAGTACACAAACACATATGACGTCTACAGTGCATTTTTAATGCTCAGTTCTTATTTAACTATATATTTTTGTTACTATCTATTAAACTTTTAACAGTTTCAACTTGTGACTGCCTATTGTTAGTTCTTAGCAAGTTATTTCAGTGTAGCTACTTTTCTGGATCTATTGGCACAGTTTTTACAATACAATACGCACCCTGTATACTGGATATTCGTTTAAATTTGTTTATCTTTACAGTCCATAACATTTTTTGTTTTTTTTTTCATGTCTCTTCATTCATGTATATAACAGTTGTATTTATTTCGGGGCTTTCAGATGATGATGACGAAGAGGATGATGATGATGATGAAGAAGATGATACCCCACAAGGTCAAGCTGCTCCAGCATCAGGTGCCAACGATGATGATGACGATGATGATGATGATGATTATTTGGATAGATTATTCGATGATATTTTGGGTGGTAAGTTATACTGTACTTAAGGTATATAACTGCATCTTATATTTTTATGATATAGCTTAATAAATAGTGTTAGTGTGATTTATGATAATGGCAAATACTTTTGTCCTTTTTTAACAGCTAATCAGACTGTTTGTCAGTAAAGATGCAAGATCTATTAAATAATCTAAATTCGACGGGATGGACTTAGTCTGTATCTTTCTATCTCAAGGTTTCTTAGATAAAAACCCATTTAAGGAATTTGGTTAGCAACACGTCGAAAAAACTCTAATTGAGGTCACTTGAAAGATATCTGTTGGCCTGTCATTGCAACCAACCAACCAAGCTTAGTAATAAGCATTTAAAATTCATATTCTGGTTCAACGCCTTCCTCCATAAATAAATTTTTGGTCTTGGCTCGTAAAAACTAATTGGGATAATTTTTAATTTCCCCTTTGAAACAATGGTTTTACTCTTTGAAAGCGTGTACTGTTTATAAATATTGGAATAAATAATAAAAGAGAATGTAGCAATATATCCCATCCACAACAATCTCTGTATGAGGTCTCACTCTCATCAATTTGGTGGAACAACTTTTGATAAATTGATCAATTTCGATCGGTTCTGTCGAAGTGAATCATACAATTTGTTCAGCTGATGACAGTACACTTCAGAGTTCCTCATAGTGTTATCGTGAAAATGCGTAGTACCTTTATTATAATTGAAAGCCTGTGGCCATTGATGAAGGGCTTTCAATTACTTTTTAGCTCATACCATATCTGCGCACAGATACATATATTACTCTACTTTTTTTAATGCAGAAGCGTTTAATAATTGTTAGTATTATATTAAAATAAGGTTTTAATATTTTATCGCTTATTTTATCTCTTATATCCCTCATAAAATTTAAATTTTTGTTACTTTCATACACCTTTGCCATTTATATTGTTATCCTTTGGCATTAAGGACAAGCAAACTATCAACTGCACTTTATGTACTACACTTTGCTTATACATACTTTTCTAGTTTTTCCTTATATTCTTATATTTCTGATTATGTTTTTCTTATTAAATTTACTTTACTATATTATTATTTTCAGATGATGACGAAGATGATGATGAGGACGATGTAGTTCCAGCTGCTAGCGTACAAAATACTGTAGCTGCTGCACCAGCCGCACCAATTACTTCCCTAGAGGATATTGCGCCCGTTGGACAGTCTGCCGTAAACTCTGGTATTAACGATGGTTTAGATGTGCCTGCGGAAAATGGTAACTCAGCTGACGCCTCAATTGCTGGCAATGCTGCCGATGACATCGCCTCAACGAGTAACAACAACGAAGGTGAAATAAATGTTTTTTATGATGAAGAAGCAAGTAATAATCTAGTAGATAGTAGCAGTAGTAGTAGTAATAGTGGTAGTAATAATAAAGTTAGTAGTAGTAGTAGTAGTAATGTCAGTAGAATTAGTAATCTTAGTAGTAGCAATACACCACACATTAGAAACAGTCAACAAACATTATCAACATCGTCAGAACAAATCAAACAAACCAACACGTTTAAAAAACCAACAACAGTCACAACTACAACAACAACAAACACAAGTAGTGGTAGTGGTCAGAATGTTTTGATTAGTCCCAATCATCTAAGCCGGCCAGCATCAGCTGCTAATGTCCTATTAAGACCAAATAATGGACCAAAGGCTCAGGCAGCTGATGCTGCTGCTGATGATGAAGACGACGATTATGATGTCGGTGTATTTGATGATGATGATGATGAAGAAGATGATGATGATGATATTGATGATGGAGTTGATGATATTACAGGTGCCATAACAGGTGATGATGACGAAGAGGAAGCGGATGACGATGATGATGATGATGAAGATGATATAATTGGTGATGATGTCATTGAAGCAAGACGTGAAGCACGTGAGTCCAAAAATACAACAACTAAGAAACAAACAGCAACAGCTAAAAAAACTAAAAAATCAACAAGTGCTTTGAAGAGTAAAAAGGCTCTCAAACAATAAGTTTTCAATGCTTTAAAACTGATATGAATAAAACTAAAGATAATTAAAAGGACTTGATAGCGTAAATAAGCTTTTAGCAATTCAAAATGGACAATGTACAAGTAAATGACTTACGTTTAATTTATTTATTTATTTATTTTTAATTTTTAATTTTTGATTGACCTATGACTTTAATTTATTAAATAATTTATTTTATATTTTAATTTTGAGTGTAACTTTAAATTTAAATTAAATTTAAAACGAAACAAACAAATTATGTTGAGAGTTTGGTACTAGTCAAACTATCTGTTAGCGCAGTTAAAGCGAAATACAATATCTTTCAGTTGCACAATTTAGTAAATTTAGTGAATTTAATAAATTTTGTATAGAAACAAAACGGACCGACCTGCAATTGTTAAAATCTTGCACAAATTTGCACAATATTCATATATATATATATATATATAAAAAAACTAAAAATCTTAAAAGCTAAAATTCTGAACATTTTGAAAACTTTAAAAATTTTTAAAAAATTCTATAAATTCTAAAAATTCTAAAAATACTGAAAACTCTATAAAATTCTAAAAATCTACAAAACAAAATTTAATTGTAAAATTTTGAAAACAAAAAGCACAATTTGTTGAAACTGCATTTGCAAATTGGCAAACTAAGAGCGCAGCATCCTTACATAAATTTATCTTATGAATATGCGGCGCTAGTTAGTTTGCCGCTTGCAGGATGCTGCTGAGATGTAAACGGCAATTAGTTTCTAGTTTAATTTATTTATTTATTTATTAAATTTAATTTATTTATTTATTTATTTATATATTTATTTAAAGAACATCCTTAATTTCACAAGAACAAAGCAATACATTATTGTAGTTAAACGTAGCATGTAATACTCTATCTAGTTTGGCTTTTCATTCTGAATCTGCTGTACTTTCTGTAACTACTTTCTCTCAGCACTACTTTCTTAATTTCTTAATTTCTAAATTTCTGAATATCTAAAAATCTTAATTTTCTTTTTGCACAAAACATTTTTCCACATAATTCACTCTTAAATTGCGTAAATAATATTTATATTGTAAAAAGTAAATAAAATAATGTTGGGTGTTGGATGCCATAGAAACGCTTGAAAAATGGTATCCTCTTGAAATTATAACAACATTTGGCCAAGAAATTAAATTCAATTTGAGATTTAATAAAAAACAAAAATAAAATAAAATAAAAAAAAATTCCGTAAATTCGAAAATTGTTTAAATGCCCGCCGGTCTAGTATGCGTTTAAGTAAAAGAAAGAATATTTCTTTTTTTTTAACTTAAGAAAAAAAATTAAAATTCTTAAAATCAATTATATAATTTGGAAAAAAAGTCCTACTTGAATGGAGTAACTCACAGATACAGACAAACACACACATACAAATAATGTTAAAATTCATTTTAAGCACTTTTCTGTTATTGTTTCCCTTTTGTTTTTGTTTTTGCTTTTTTTGTTGTTTTTTCGATAAATAATTTAATTTAAAATTTATTTGTAAACAAAAAATTTTTTAAATTAAAAAGTAAAAATTTGTTAAAAATAGAAAAATAAATTAAATTGTGTTTTATTTGCAAACAATATTTAAATAATTGGTTTTCAATTTTGGTACTTGGCAAAAAAGTTGGCGTTTGTGTATCTTCAATCAATGCATTTTTATTGAAATATAGAATTCATCTATTTTATATTTTTTTCAAGCGTTTGTTTTATATAATATGTATGTAAATATAATATATGTAAAATCTGAAATTTTTCCAATCTTTGTTGTCTTTAATCTATTGTGTATTTGTTAAAATATAAACTCTAGTAGTTTCTCCTTAGATTCATTAAACATTGTCTTACCTGTTTGTCTACTAAGCACATTAATTTAGTTATATTAATTGCACTTTATATTAGATACTTTAGACTGTAAGTATATATTTTTAGATTTTAAAATATAGTTCAAGCAGTGATTCGATGTCTCAAGCCTGCCTATTTGATTTTAGTAATGAAATTTAGTAAGGACACCATTCTTTTTACTACACTATAAATTAATATATGTCAGTTTTTAGTAAATATCAGGCTTTAAAGTTCCAAATATTTTTTGTGTCAATATAGATTTGTTTTCAAGATATCAAACTTTAGAGTAAAATAAATTTACATCAAAACTAGTGCGTCAAATATTATTTGAACTGTTAGACGATTCAAAGAATATAATATTAGAATGTGTTTATTTCACCATTTGTTAATATAGATTAGTTTTCGAGATGTTATCCTTAAAAGTTGAAAATGTTCACATGAAAACTATAGCGTCAATATTGGTTAGATTGACGAATTGATAGTTAGGATTGTTATTATCCTTTAAAGTTGAAAATGTTCACATAAAAACTGTTCTGTCAATATAGGTTAGTTTTCAGAATATTATGCTTTAAGGTTGAAAAAATTCACATGAAAACTATAACGTTAGTTTTCGGGATGTTATCCTTAAAAGTTGACAATGTTCACATAAAAACTAAAGCGTCAATATTGGTTAGTTGACGGATTGAAGTAGGATTGTTATTCGTATGAAATCATTGGTCAACATAAGTTAGTCCGAGATAATATCCCGTTAACAGTTGAAAATATTCACGATAAAAAGGCTCGTTATGTCAATATAGTTGAAAAAGATATTCATATGAAATCTATTGTGTTAACATAAGTTAGTCTGAGATAATATCCCTTAAAGTTGAAAATATTCACCATAAAAACTGTTAGTCATATAGTTAATAGTTTTCAAGTTATATCCCCATAATTACTACAACTATGTCCATGACGTCCTGGAAACATACAGATAAAAAAAGAACAAATAACTGGATTTATGATAGTTGAGTGTAGAGTTTTGAAGTTATCTGTTACCTAAAGAATAAATTAGTGTATAAATGCAACCCTTCTTGACCATGTAAATCTACCAGACAGTGACACTACAAACCTTCACCAAATCAATAATTTTTAATAGTTATATACCCAAAAATATAATATTGGGTGTTTTTTTAGCCGTATGAAACTTAAAATGTTAATATCAAGACTAGAAATATTATTAGAAGGAATTTTTTTATTATAATCTGGTAGATATAGGAATAAGAATAAACGATGTACCAGCTCTCAGCGGTGCGGAGCACTGCGACCATTGTTGATCTTTCGTGCTGCAGCAGACCCTAATCGAACAGTGAACTCCTCCTGGCCCAGATCAAGGCTGGGCTATCACAGAGAATGTGACTGGAAGTCTCGTCTGCTTCTAATCTGTTAGATATTTTCTAGGCATTTAATTTATCAATATGATTTCCGGCATATGTTCGTCACGGCCACGAGTTACATGGTCCACTCACTTAGTTAAATTTTTGACTATGTATATAATACATAGTGTATACTAGTACAATATTTTTTAGTATATACTTTGGTACAATCCAGGGTTTGCCACTTATATATGCATCTAATCGAGTATCAATAACTTTTTTACCAAAAGTAACAAATATACGTATTTATGTACTCCGATTTATTGAAGTTGAAAATATCTATGTCAAAGACTTTTTATTTTTTTTATTGGTGAAATTGCATACTTATCAAGTTCAAAACATTTCCATCAAAATTTTTCTAATAATTTCTCGGGATATTTTCCTGAACGAACA